TTAAAGGCCGGTCCATGAAAATATTGTCGGGCATAAACCGGTCCGTGGCGCAAAAAAGGTTGGAGACCGCTGCAGTAAATGGTTGTTTCCTAAATGTTATGCCGCCACCTGCCACCAGTTGGCGCATCACTGCTGAGAAACGCCATTAATCTAGGCCTGATTGTTTTGGTAATAGTATAATTGTTAGTTTTTCGTGTTAGTTCTTTAAAAAGGTGAAAGACTGAGATCACAGATAAAACAATGTTTTGTAATAACATGTTTTCAAATCATATTTAACATCAGTTTATTATACGTGTTTTTCTTAGTTACCTGTTTGGAGAATACAATGCAATGTCCATAATGCACAATGTAAGGTGGCACACAGTTAAGCGACATGATTCATTATTGAAGAATGTGATTAATGGTATCACATGGTTTTCTTTACAAGGCTTTTGACATTGTATATTAAACGGTTAACAAATTTAACTTAATAACTGAATGTTTCTTAGTTTTACACTAGTTCACTGGACTAATTTGAGTTTTTCCTTGTTTAGTCATCAAAGAACTTAGTCAAACCCCCAATAAATAAACATTAAACATCCTGATGCTTTAATAGATTCTGTCTGTATGATGTTTGTACAGTGATGGTTTCCTACCTTTGGTGCTTTGGGCTCACTGACTCGCAGAGCTTCTCTGAAGTAGGCATCCACCGCGTAATTGGCTTTCCTTTCTCTCTTGGGCGGCTCGATCCAGTTTGTAATGACCTGAACGGAAAAATGAAAATCACAAGCTAAGGATTTAAGTCTTTTCCCAAAAGAAAGGCAGTCCCAGATTATAAATTACCGATGCTGGCCAACCTATTTACCTTCTTCTTCTCTCTGTAGTCCTCTCCTTCGAAGGTGTACACGCTGGTGTTCTCCGTGTCCATGGTGAAGTTTCTCAAAGAGCTCTCGCCCAGCGATGACATTCTCTCCTTCATCTCCATAGTCTGGTACACAATCATTTCAAAGTGTTTGATTTTTTAAATTCACACAATAACTTTCGATTGATGCTTTTCAGCTAATGCAACCAGACTCACCTTCCTTTCACCTCTCTCCAGGATGGCATCGATGTCATCATCTGTGATCTCGCTCTCTTTGGAAGCAAACACGTGTGTGGCACCGTGGCGGATGATGGAGAGCATCTCATCCTTACCCAGTTTGTTTGCACTCGGATCCACAAGTCTCCCTATTTTCAAAAAATAAATAAAATAAAGTTTAGTTTATTTCGCAATTTCCAACAAGTACCACTATGTGAACTTCATATTTTATTTCTTAGTAGCATGCAGGACACTAAAACAAGTTTAAACAGGCTGACTTTAAGTGAGATGAGTTACCTTGCTGGATGACGATCGAGTCCAGGCGCAGTTTCATCTCGGCCCTCTCCACAATCCTCTCCTCCACTGTGTTTTCAGTGATGAAACGGAAAACTCGGACCTGCTTCTGCTGACCAATCCTGTGAGCTCGGTCCTAAGCAGATGAAAAAAACAAGCAAACAAGCAAACAAGTCAGGTAATCTGACCGAAACAATCAAGTTCATTGGTTACACTCATGCTCAGGTAGATCATCATATTAGACTACTAACCATGGCCTGAAGATCGACTTGAGGGTTCCAGTCTGAGTCGTAGAGGATGACTACATCTGCTGTTGCCAGGTTAATACCCAGACCTCCAGCCCTGGTGCTCAACATAAAGATGAACTTTGAGCTGTTGGGCTCATTGAAAACATTGATGGAGATCTGTAAATACACAAACACGTGAAAATTAAGTGCTTTTATAGTCACACTCTCAATACCAAACACTCAGGAATTGCTTTTGGTTATGGAAGA